GACCCTCCCGCGACCATGATTTTGAAGGGGCTGTTAGTTCAATGATTTTGCGTTGATTTGTAGAAGCTTTGCTTGGTTTGGTCTACAACTGTGTCAGATCACCTTTTTTTTTTGTATCTTTTCCTATTTTCTTCTATGTTTTTTTATTTTTTGTTGATTTCCTGCGTTGAACCCTGTAAAGTTGAGTCAACTCACCTTCTACGGTTGTTTTTTGTTGTTTTTGCTGCGTTTTCTTTATGATTTCCGATTGTGGTTCATATTTTCCACGATTTTCTCATCGTTTGGTACCCAACCGCGATAAATGCAATCATTTTGGTGTTAGTTGCCCACGCCTACCTCAAACTGCACGCCGCGTTGTAGAACTTGCGTTGTAGAGCCTCTTAGACAGCCAGCGACCCTCCAGCGACTCTCCAGCGACTCTCCAGCGACTCTCCAGCGACTCTTCAGCGACTCTCCAGCGACCCTCCAGCCACTCTCCAGCGACTCTTCGGCGACTCTTCAGCGACTCTCCAGCGACCCTCCAGCGACTCTCCAGCGACTCTGGAGCGACTCTACAGCAACCCTCCAGCCACTCTTGATCAATTCTCCAGCCAGTGACTGATTTGCCATCTGCCTCTGGGAAATCTTTGCAATTCTTCTCGAAGTCTACCCAAAACAAGCGTTCAGGCCAAGAGGATAGTATTCTGTTGAGTTTTTTAGTTTTTTGTGGCTCCCCCACTCTTTTTAACGGTTTTGATGAGTTCTCAATTGCTTGCTGGTCAGTTCGAGTCGTTTTTCTTAGAATTTCTTCAAAATGTAATTTTTTGGTGGGTTTGCGTAGCAGCCGCAGTGTGCGCAGTATGTTTGCGCGTTTTTTGATGAGTTTTCATCGTTTTGGATGAATTCTTGCCTTTTCTGGTCATCTGGTTTCCATTTGCAATTTCCCACTTGGTTTCAGACTTGTTGAATTTTCTCCTTTTCCACTTCGTTTGGCCACCGCCCAAATCGGTGTTCATTTGGCCACCGCCCAATGCGGTTCCTTCAAATCAAGGGCTAAGTATTCATCGGCTAATGCAATAACATGAAGTGCTAATGCTCACCGCGCAACTCTGAAGCCCAGCTCCCCGGAGCACCCATCCTAAGTGTGCTTCGCAGCTTCTTCCCACGTGGTAAGCTACTCCTTTATTGGAGAGAATCCACTGTATAGTCCAGTCCGGACCTCAGACAACCGAAGCTGAATGTCTTGCTTGAAGTATGATTGTGATGGAAAACGTTTCACCTCGGTATCTATGAATCTTGCTGCAGAGCTTACTGACATTCCTCTCTGAATTCGTTTCACCCCAGGAGAT